GCAAGGTCTACGCAGCTAACAGTATTATTCTAATACGAGTCTGAATTTGCATTTATCTCTTTGCCTAAACAGAGAAAAATTGACAAACCACAGAGAAAAATAACAAATACACCATTAAAATAGGGAAGGGGAAAGGTTTTACCAGAATAGTAAGTCCAGAAAGTCAAAAGAGCTTTCTTTCAAAAAAGCAGCTTCCCATACACTTTTCAAGTATTAATTACAGTAAATAAACTAGTCAAAACATGCATTTTCACAACAAGGCTTCAGAAACAGAACCACATCAAATAAAAAAGCCCCAGTTAAATAATTTGATCTGAATTGAGTTTTGTTGCCCTTGCACTTGAACTCTACTATACTCAGTGGCACCAGTTCCAATTTATACTGGAAAAAGAAGAATATACTCCATAAACAAAGTTATTAGATAGACAAAAACTGCTGAACACCAAGAACAAGCCTGCAATAGTTTATTACTAAATTATTTGGCCTAGGTTTCAGAATTCATCAGTCTTGCCTGTAAAGAGACTTCTTTTCACAAAGAGTATATTTGTGACCATGGTCCATGTAGAATTAGAAACAAATGTATTAAATAATACAATGTTTAAAGCAAGCACCATGGAGCACCCACCAAAAAAAAAAAAGCTCTCTTCCACCTAAGCGAAGCAAAAGGCTTGTACATTACCTAGTTTTCAGATAAACATTACTTTGTAAGCTCAAGTGATATTTAAGAAAGAATCTGTCCCAAAACATCATGTACAAAAAGTAAAGTTGTAGTCAAACATTTCCCCCTCCATACCTTAGCACTAAAGCTAACTACTTAAAACACAGGAAAAAAACCCCAAAACATTACTGAGATCAAAAATATTTATGACAGCATCTGCCAGGCATGCATCAGCAGACTCAAACTTTTTAACTTCAAGCAAAGAAAGAATTACCTTCAGGCACTATACGAAGCTACCACCTTCTTCAAACTCAAGAGGAGAATAAATATGCACATTCGCTTTACTTGATTTTTGGCAACAGAGTAGCATGGCTGTTCAAAGCCAGAGAAGATCTGCAAGGAAAAGATACAGAATGCAATTGCAGGTATTATTAAAATATCAGCATTTTATGGTCTTCACTGCATCTAACCCAGAAATCAGTGTCTGTCAATGCCAGAAAGAATAATTCTGTAGTAGTATTTTTTTAATTAACAATGCTATCCAGTTACAAGTCTGCTCAAAACTGTTGCATACCTGAATATTTTTGCCCATAAGTTTAAAATAACTATCAGTGAAATTCTTCAGTATTTACAAGGAGGCAAATTTAGTTCACTAAAAAAACCTGCTCGTATTTCCATTAACTGAAAATATTTTTTCAGAACTGGTGCAGGATGCCAGTAGGATGATGTTAACAGCAATACAGAAAGTCATAACAAAATGCAATTCATCTAAGAAAATCCAGTGTGAAAAGGCACACATGCTACTGCTGTCGAATCAATAGCCTTATCCTGAAGCTGCATCCAATAGATTACTTCGGGAATCACCATCACCTTCCTTACCTGAAGCAAGGTAATCTTGTTTGTTAAACCATTCGCCTACTTACGATTTTTTTTTTTTTTTTTTAAACAAACTGAAGACATTACCATTCCCAGCTGCTTGTCACTGGCATCCTTGCCAGTGGCTTCCTCTCCCAGAACCGCTGTTTAAACTACAATTGAAACTACAACAGCCAGATCAATAAAGGTGGCCTTTTTAGGCTTCCCTAGGCCATTTTAATTGTTGTCAGTTAAGCAGTGGTGCCAAAGGAGAAGGAGGTCTCAGCAAGTAAGGCAGTGATGAGTGGTTGGGCTCAGGGCAGTCAGGCAAGTGTACAATCAAACTCCAAACAAACATTATTTCTCTCATGTTAATGCCCTAGCAAGCTTTCTGAGAAGATGATCAGGCACTATAAAGGGTGATAATCCATTACTAAAAATAGGTTTGCTGAAGCATGAAAACCATTAGAACGTGTAAATCATTTTATACAACTCGTGCTACTAACGGTAATCAAAACCACTTCATCCCAAATGTCAAAACCTTACGATAAAGGAAAAAATTACAACTATTATATGTATTTTATGTGCATGGAACAGATAGCACTTTGTTAGGCTGTTATTTAAGCTATTATGTTCCTCCCTCCTGTCCGCTCCCTCTTTCCACCTATGCAAAATGCACACACATCACCTTGCTGGAAGCAAAGGTGCAATAAAAGGGAAAAAGCAATGTGTTTAAGTACCACCACTGGAAAACCAGTAATTGAAATGTCCTCTTCCAGTTTAGCTATCAGTAGTCATACTTGAGCAAAACAAACTTATGAATATTTGCTTTAGATCAAAGTAATGCACATTAACAAGAATAACAAGAAACCACTGAAACACTTTTTCCAAAGTCAGATCCCAACACTATAATCTTTATTCTTCTAATTCCTTTGCAACCATTAAGTCGAAAAACAGTGGGTTTTTTTCTCCCACCCAACATTTCAACAATTAACCTTGGGGGAACAGAACTACACTCACTCAGGCAGGACAAATTTGTACTAGGTTACTTTGAGTAGAAAGAAAAAAAAAAAAAGTAGAATACACCCACCCCCAAGGTTGCCACAAATTTCAGTGAGTACTTCCAGGAACAGAGGAGTCGTGTAAAACAAGGTTTCAGAGAATACAGGCCTTTGACCCCAGGCTCTCCTACAGATTCTCTGGTGCTTGATTAAGGCAGGCTGCAGCCCTTCCTTCAGCAGGGACTATGTCGAGCGCCTCCCTCCAGCTGCCTGTTTTCACAACACTGGAAGAAAGTGAATTTTGAGAGCTCACCCTATTCTTGCATCTCTGGACAACATCTGGCTGAGTCTGTCCAAGGAAGTCCAACATTAGTTAAAAGTGAAATGAATGAAGACGGGTCACAGTTGCCTACATCTCTTTCAAAGGTCATGTTACAGCAGACTATGACAAGCGAGGTTATGTACATATCACAAATTAGCCTTTAAGTTTGTTCCCAATATTGAAGAAAATTATGATTCATCAGTAACACAAGTTTTTAACATAAGCTTGGAGCAAAAGTCAGGTACCATCAAGCTTCAACAGAATATATCCATAAACACACACACATTTTATTCTTCTTCTAGTTTTATTACCCCGACAGGCCATTAAGAGAATTTCAGGCTTTTTTAGCATTACACTGTTACATAGTGTACAAGTTTCAAGCTTCTTTTGGAGTTACATTGCTCAAATAATTTTAATTCATTTTAATAGAGGTTGAACAACTACAAAATTTGACAACTAGTGAAGACTAGTGAGCTGCTAACTATGTAATCAGACAAACTGTAACAAAATTACTAATCCACCCAGATTATTTGTTTGAACTGTGTGACCTGCAGAATTAGATCTATACTGTCATATAAATCTCGATCCTTTCAATTACAGAATGGAAGCTTGTATGATCAACTGCCATGAATTATCAGTAACACCATTAAAAAAATAGCTGAAAGTTTGAGAAGGAAATTTCTATAGCAGCTGCCAGAGCAGACAGAAGATGGTAGACATGAATATAAGAGAAAGAATGAGATGACCAAAATTAAAGAAAGAATAACACAAAGTTGAAAAAGCTTCCAGAATTAATTCAGATGTATATTTTATCATGTTAGCTAACAAAACACCAAAACCATCCATGAATACTGCATGCCAGTTATAAAATTTATTTCACCACTCTACATTGTGTTTACATTGCAATGCAATTACTGCATCTGCTTCATTTCATGGAATTACTGCAAGCTTTTCCTACCCAATACAAACCCTCAACAACAGAGTACTGCTGAAGTCTGTGTTGATGAATACTTGCAATGCATGTTGTTTAAAAGTTTTGAAATGTATCCTATTTCGTTCAGCACATGCTCATGGTTACATCCGTAAAAGGAATTAATGTCTGTTTACAGACCTTTCCTTTTTATAATTACAGTACAGGCGCTCATGGGTTTCACAGCATGCTGCATTAATCCTATGGCTACCTTAACCATCCATTTCTGCCATCAAGTGCAGAATCCCTGCTCCATTATCCAATTCCAGCTGTTCCACTGTTTCATGGTAGATTTCTTTCCAACTTCACAAACTCAAACACTGAAATATGGTATTCTGGGTAGGACAGAAATCAACATTTACATTTTTTTTTTTTTTATTTAAAGGGGCATTATCAGCTTCACCTTAAATTAATTGTTTCCTCTACGATACCCTGATATTTAAGCTCATGCACATGGTTTTAACATCTCATTTCCCATGCCTCTTTTATAAACTGAGTTACAAACTGAATTTAAGCAAATTTATTAATACATTTTTCTTTAACTCCCTGGAATTTAAACTGAACTACACCGAAGTCACATCTTTCCTTTAAACCCAATGGTTTAAAATTCCATCTTCTACAACAGCAACACACCAGCAGCATAGAGTACTTTGCTTTTTGTGCCTGGGGAAGTACTGTTTCACATCTGTACTTACCAATGCTTTATTTCCCAGGTCACAGAGGACCAAGAGGCCCAAATCCTTTCTGCCCTATGTGTATCTCCAGGTTGGAAGGGGGTCAGCTCTGAAAGCAGACAGAACTAGCTTAACTGCCCAAGCAAGGCAAGACTCTCACTGTTCACTCAGAAGCCTGCAATTCCACATTGCCAATGAATAGACATTCACATAGCTCTCTATGAACATCATCTGTGTGCTGCTAATAAAGGAAGTTTGTCTTCTCTTACTGCAGACCAGCTGAGGTAACAGATAGTGCCTCCAATTTGAGTCATAAACATCACCCCTGATTAGAGGGGTCAGGCGTCTCACAGGAGATCGCTGCAGAATTCCTGCTTGTCAAAAGGTCAATTCATCTGAGGCAACGGCTGACAAGTCCTTCACATGCTTAAAAGACTCAAGTGCTATTCCTCATTAGCTGAGTATCTTACCTGGAGAATATCTCCCCTCAAGGAGAATACACCTTTATTACCTCTGGAGATGGACAGCCAACTTTGGGGTACATTAACATCTTACTAAGTGTGCTTCATTTCCATACAGCAAATCTTAAGGTTTGCCTTTGCAGCTCCTGTGATTCCACTGTTCTGTCCTCTCCTCTTAGAGCAGGATTTCCTGTTTCACTTTGACTTACACAACTCTATAACAGACAAATGGTACAAGACTAGCACAGAATGTTCCTTCCAATTAATTTTGTTTTCTTCCACAAACCTGTCTTCTACCTCTACGTCCTTTGATTTTTCAGGTGCCCTTCTCAAAAAATGCTCTCTTGCCCCAACTTGCACACCCCACCTCATAAACAAAGGATTTTGTAGCACATAAATCCTAATATCAAAGGAAAACTTGCATAGAGACTGAAGCTGAATTTAAGGAAACAAACATCTTCCCTCATGTTAATTACAAGATCACCTCTAAAAGCAGACTTCAAGGAGCTTTCTCCAATATGGCAACCAATGCATCTAACCAGAAATACTTAATTTTGCAGAAACTACTACCACCACCAGAAGAACAGGCAGAATGACCTCATCATGAGAGCGCACATTCTTTACTAATGCTTTTAGCAACAGAAATGGCTTAGTTTCTAAAACACAATGCAAATGCATACCCTTATCTGGACAACCAAGTGTTAAAAAGAAACATGCTTTAAAAGGCACTTAAAAAACTTAAAACTTTTTTTTAAAAAAATAATCCTAAACTATATGATAAATAAATAGTAGGGCTCCTCCTGACCCAGTTGCAGAGAATAATTTCATCCCCCGCTCCTCCAGAATAAATGTAACCAGAAGACCACATCTAATCACCAAAATACATGTTACTCCAGGTAGAGATCCTATCTCCCATTACCACCTTATCTCAAAGCCTATAAACCTCATGTTCCAGCCACACTGTAGTCTTCAAGAAAGGCTTGTCAATCCCTGACATCTGTAAGGTGCCATCTGGAGCTCTATTTATACTGTGTTGAGATGTGCATCAGGCACAGAGGCGGTTACTTAATTACAGCATCTTCAGCAGTCACTGTGGGGTTAGCAGCTCTCAAACTCAGCTGCGGGTCAGTAAAGCAACTGTCTTCCACTGAACACAGGAATGAAGCTGCAATTCTGCAGAGCAACCAGGAAACATGCCCAAGCCCCTACTTCCCAACTTATTAAAGAGGAATTTCAAACTCCAGTAATTCAGTATACAGTAATTTATAGTGTAAGAGGTTCCCCCCACAAGATGAATCATTTTACACAATATCAACTGAAGAGTTATATATGACCACCACACTCAGAGCTGCTTCTGCAACTCTGAATTACATGAAGATTCTCATTCAGCAAAGTAGGTGCAGCAACACCTTCACAGATCCTCAACAACATCAACGGTGGAACAGCAGGAGATCAAAAGCAACTGCTTCTAGGCAGGTAAGAAAACATCAAAGAGTAGCTCTGAAATTGGTGTGGCCCAAAACAATGCAGCAGCTTACAAATTCAGACACAACTTACCTCGCGAATTCTAGGAAAGCGATAGTTTCAAACATGTTTATGAGGCAACAGGCAAATTATTAGGCATTGTGTCATGATCCCATACGTCTGTTTCAGATCTGAGGGTTACCTTCTATTTACACTGCTCTTTTCACTGATTTGAGGAGCTGCCAAAACACAATCCATGTGATGGATCAGACAAAAGTTTTTCTCCTCCAACAGTAAAAAACCCCACTTTACCACATTTTTCAAATCCCCATCTCTCTTACCTGACAGAAAGTGAAATTCCTGTGCCTCAGTTAACAGGTACAAATCAAAAAATAAACAAAGGGTTTCTGACATTCTTATTGCTAGGAAACAGCCCACAGCCTGTAGAAGTACCCTTTTTCTTTCTTTCTTTTCTGCTTTTAATTGATGGAAACAGTCTTTCCACAGCTGTCTGCAACTTGGTCTTTGACAAAGTTAACAGAAGGTTTTGTCAGCTTTTTTTCCTAAAAATGTATAATTTTGCAATTTCAAAAGCATTTCTAGACTACAAGTCTCCCTCCAATTACGGAGACCAACACATTCACATTGCAAAGAATGGTGGTCTCGGGTATGTGGAGCTTCAGGTGGTTTTATGCAAGTTACTGACTGACTCCATACTGGAGGGAAGGTTGTCCCTGTAGACATACACTCTTTAAAAATAATTAACATGTGAAACCTTACAGTGTTTGCCAATAGTTCTGCAAGAAACACCCAACAAATTCCTTTTTTTCTTACATCAAACTCAGACAAGTCGGCACCAATGCTTCTTTCACTCACTCTCCCTCTGGTTAACCGAGACCACAATCACCTAAACACTGGTTATAGTAAGAGCACCAGATTTAGGAATCCCTTTCCTCAGCCAGTTCTCCTTCTGCTCCTCTCCCTGCACCAACTTTCAGTGGTACTACTTTCCATTATTCCATGGAATGAACTGCAAACTGGATTACTTTGCTGTAACAAGCTATAAACAGCATACTTCCCCAGGTTATTGCTAGCTTGAATGAGCTCCATGATCCAGTTCACTACACAGCCCCACAAACTGTTACGCTACAGCTAAAGCTGGAAAGAGGCTGATAAATACAGGGGGTACCGAACATCAGCACCATCATCCAAGACAACAAGTGAGAATTTCCAGAAGGCATCATTCACGTTCCTAACTGCCCATGACAGCAGTTTGTAACAGATAA